TAATAGAGTTAAAATCTTCCACTAAGACATATCTAATTCTGAGAGCTGCAATTGAATTACTTCTATTTCTACATTTTATCATAATGAAAGTATCTCGAATTAAGATCCCCTCTTTCACCTACTTCATTTTTGACTTTTGTTTAAGAATGCTTTCTTTCAACATGAGGCAATTCCAAATCTCTTCTTGTGCCACACTCATATTGATTAAATCTACCTCTAATAATGTGTCCCCAGCCCACTCCAAGTCATCTTCAATGCCATTAAGACTGTTATCCAACTTCTATTCTCAAATCCACCCACCCAAACACATTCTTGTTCCACCACCTCAGTTTTATCCTAAGAGCTTTGAACTTTTCTGATAAAATGTGTGCATCACTGCCTAATTTATGAATCAAAATCCACTCTTTCTTCACAAACACAAGAAACTCAGGATGATCAAACTAACACCTGAAAACCTTAAAAGGTTTGAGACCCAAATTCAAACAGTTAGCTTTGATCCACACAGGTCCGTGATCCGAGATGACCCTATCCCCCACGAATTAAGCAGCAATATTCCACTTCTCGATGAGCCCCTCCGTTAAAAGCAATCTGTCAATCCTACTTCTACAACTCCTATTTGCTTTAATCCAAGTAAACCTATTACCAACTGCAGGAAAGTTCACTAAGTCCATGACATCTATGAAGCTGTTAAACTCCTCCAACTCAGCAGCACAACTCGAGCCCCTTTCTCTCCTTTCCTCCTTAGTCTTAATTGCATTGAAGTCACCACCCACCAGCCATTCCCCATATGGAGCTTTTAACTTTAGTTCAATTAATTCATACCACGTCTTCCGTTTCTCTACTATACTGCAGAATGAGTAGGCATTGACAATGTAGCAGTTCATCCCCTTCCACGAAGCAATGATACCCAAAAAACCATTCCCCCTAAAACTTGAAATGGGACAAATGGCTTTCTTTATCTGAATTGATAGAATCCCACCTGATTGCCCACTAGCATTTAAAGCAGACCAATCACAATCCTCATTCCCCAAATGTTATGAACAAGCTTGTCTTCCATATTCTACTTCTTTGATTCCTGAATTAGACAAATGCCTACATTCCCATTGAAGAGAATCCGCCTGATCTTGCTTCTTTTGATGGAATTCCCACTCCCTCGGATATTGAAGGTGACACATTCATGGAACCCTAATAGCTGCCTCCCTCGAATCTTCAAACACTTTCCTATCTCTAACCTACATATCTTTGACAATTCCTTCAAATAACTCGTCTTCTTCATCACCCTTGATTCCCAATTCTTTAATTGTTTGCCACACCTTGGCTAAGACATCCTCCATGGCTCTTCTGACATGAGAATTAACTTAGTTGACATCAGAGTCATTGATTGATTCACATCAAATAATTGAGCCCCTCGAATATCTTGATGTTGAATCTTTCACCTCAGAGCAATGGAGAACAATGTTGGATGACAGATCAACAAGGTAAGAGGGGACAAGGTGTTTGATATTAGAATGAATAAGATGGGAAAAATAAGAAGGGGAAAAAAGGATTTTTATATTTTCATAAATGTCATTGATGAGTTTCTTTTTCCTTGGTCTAGACCCACCAACAAAAAGACCTGGCCCAATAGGGGAACACGAGATTGGGTCGGAACCAACTGAGTCCAGGTCCACCACTACAAGTGGATTAGAATATTGAGACCTAGTAGAATTACAAACCGCTACAGGCATTGCAATTGGCTACATCTGAATCAAATTAGTAGCAAGCTCATGTCCCATCAGTAACTTATCATGATTGTCCCCATTTAATGGATCTTCCCCCACACCCATGTTATTGGTACTTTTTTCCATCTCAATACTTCCAACAATCCACTTTTTACCAGATACGTCAACCCTATCTTGGTCAATCGCCCCCAAGTCTATGCCAACAATCACTTTTCCCAACTTCTTGGTATTTTCTACCAAACCTGCTTTACTCATAGTATAAAGAAGTACAATATCATGATTTGATTTCTGCACACCCCGAGAACCGTTTTCCCTAAACTCCCCTCTTCCACCTCACCCATGCATCGTTCTCCTCTTCCTCATCTGAATCCTCTGACTCACTCACATCCAATACTGCTTTAGGCATCATAATACACTTAGGCCCATGCATATCTTTTCCTAGTTTAACCCTGTAAATTCTATCATTGATCCCTACATTGAAGGTTTCATTCAGATTCATTGAATACTTGTTTTGATAAAAGAACGCATCACATCCAACATTGACAACTTTTCTGTCTCCTCATCACATCATACAAACTCACCCACAATATCAGAAATGAACTTGAAGAAATCAGTATGCCATGCATGGCATGGTAGATCATAACATCTGATCCAAGTCAGTCTTTCATTATCTATATCCTCTGATGACCATGGATGGATGTCAGAAAACTAGCGGGATACCCAGGCTTTATCCTCATCAATCAGTGCACGAATATCTCCTATATCAGTTTCCTCCAAAAGGCACAAATTTGCACCAATTTGAGTAGCTTTAATACGAAAATTCCCCGCTTCTAATAGTGCATTCTGAAGATTGTAGGTTGAACCAGATTTCTCCACTACCCCAAAAAAAGCCTTGTCAAACCTAGCCAAGTACTTCTTCTATATGTTAAATTGAAGGTGGGCAAATTTCGGTTTGACCTCCAATTCCCCCTTCCTCTTCTTCCTGTATCCAACCAGCTCCCTATCCTTTTTAGCCTTAGCCTCCTCACCTGAGTTGTTTTTCCTCCGAGTCACTTGAGCGTAAGAGAACCCTGGCTTGTTTGTTTTCCATAAATGGTTGTCAATTTGCATCCAACGTCTATTTTCAGCGTCCTCCGCTAGTTTATCTTGTTTGTTGTCCGCCATGATCTATCGTTGGAATATGGGAATGTTAGCATGGATCTTCTTACCTTGAATATGAATTCTATCTAGTTTCTCCGCCAAGATTCTTTCATTCGTATGTTTCCTAAAACGAACAAAGTCATATCTTTTATCACACTTGTCTCTCTTCGCCGTATTGAAGACTCCCACAACTAATCTAAACTCCTTAAATACCCCCATTATGTCCTTAGCCTCATATTCCTCTGGGAATTCCGTAAAAAAGAATGAAGCTAAAGGTTCCTCTTCTTCATTTCCTTTACCTCTTCTTGCAGTCCATACATAAGTTTTCTTCGCCACTTCTTCATGAGTTCTCATGTGCTAGACCTCCACCCATTTCTCTTTGCCACCCATTACCGGCTGCTTTTTATTATTTAGTTTCTTTATAGCTATATAAAGTATAACTTTAATTTAATTATATTGTGGGAGTTGGTGTGAGACTCAATTTAAATTTTTTATTGGTTTTATTGATATTAAAAAATATAGTCAGACTTTAAATAAATTTGAGAAGTGTGTAAATTTATATAAAAACTAAAATGGAGTCCATTTAATTATTAAGATGGATGTTATGAATGACATTTGAAGACATGTGACATAGATGTGAGGGATTTGGATCCTCTCCTTTTTTATATATCGTGTCATCTCTCTCCTTTTTTTATATATCGTGTCATCTCTCATGTTTCTAATCTAACGGTTCAGAATTTATAATGAATAATTAAATAAAAAAAACAAAGGCAAATTACTTATCCATTTCTCTCTCCTATTAAATGACTTTTTTATTTAATTATTCATTATAAATTCTGAACCGTTAGATTAGAAACATGAGAGATGACATGATATATAAAAAAGGAGAGGATCTAAATCCAGATGTGAGATTGATCATCATTTACCATCATGCTTATTAAATTATGATAATATAATTTAATAATATATAGTAGAGTTTAAATTGGTCCTTAATTTTTTTTCGTGTCAGATTGGTCTCTTAACTCTTAAAATGTATCATGTTAGTCATTTTTGTCTAATTAACGATTAAAAAATTAATTGATCGCTAAATTCGTCGCTAATTAGTAAAAAAAACTAACATAATACGTTTTAAGAGTTAAAAGATCAGTCTAACACAAAAAAAAAATTTAAAGAACTAATCTAAATACAAAAGTATAATTAAAGGACCAAAAATAATATTTATCCTTTTAACATACTACTATTATCTCATAAATAAACTATTTTGATTTTATTTATAATATTTATATTATCATTTGATGTAGTTTAATCTTTAAAAAAAAAGGATGAATTGATTCCATTCATATTTTTAAATAGATGAATTGAATTCATTGCATTATTTATTTTTTATGTTTGATGGACGGAGTCGATATATTAATGTATATATTAATTAAAAGATTAATTTTCATGCATTGTTAATATATAAAGTTTATATTGTCAATATATATATATATATATATATATATATATATATATATATATATATATATATATATATATATATATATATATATATATATATATATATATATATATATATATATATATATATAATATAATTTTTCTCAAAAAAAAATTGAATTAAATTTGAAAAATATTTAAATATAGTTAATTATTTAAATTAATAAAAAATTATGTGAACCTTTGAATACTTTGCTTAGAAAATGTTGTAAGGTATATAAGTTGGCGCTAGCTGTGACCAATTCACAATAAAGTTCTTCTATATTTGTCATATTAATATATTAACATCAAATAAAGATATAATTTATATTTCTTGTTTTTCAATAAATCCAAAATGTATTTTTAGTATTAGAACAAATGAATAAAAAATAAATAAAAAAACTTAAAAATCGAATACATTCAGTGGCAATTTCACTAATTTAGAATAACAATAAAGTATTTTTAAATTAATAAAAATAATGTCCATAATTAATAAAGTCTGATATTTTAAATTTAATATTACAAACAATGAATTTTTTTCTCTCTAGAGTGTATACATAAATAGGGACATAAGAGTAACATATGCACCCACAGTTTTCTCAATTGTTCTTCATTTCTAAACTCGCGTTCTCTATTTTAGTAGGTAAGCGTTGTGAAACAATCATGGGGCGTCGCAAAATCGAGATTGAGATGGTGAAAGATCCCAACACGAGACAAGTCACCTTCTCAAAGCGTCGAACGGGCTTATTCAAAAAAGCAAATGAGTTGTCTATTCTGTGTGGAGCAGAAGTCGCCATTGTTGTGTTTTCTCCAGGTAACAAACCCTATTCTTTTGGTCATCCAGGAGTTGATGTTGTTGCAGCCAATTATCTCCAACAAGAGAATCGATCAAGTGATTCTCAAGGAAGCTCCTCTAATGCTCCCAACATGGAAAACTTGAATCAAGAACTTGCTGAGGTGTTGGCCCAAATTCAGGAAGCTGAAAAAGAAGCTGAGATCCATGATCAGATCTTGAAGAAAAACGACGTGAAAAAAAACTCCGAGCTTACTGAACTGAGAGATTCTTACAAACAACTTCAAGATATGGTAAAATTGCGTTTAAGTGATATTGAAATATCTGAATATATGATGCTTCTTGCTCAAGATCCTGTGGTAGGAGTAAAAGCGAAACCGGCGAAAAAGAAAAGAAGAAGAAATTAATTTTATTTTATGCAGTTTTTTAGGAATAGTTTATGTTTCTCTTGTCTTTTGTTATAAAAAAAAGAGTGATGAATAAAGTGTTTTTTGTTTATTTTATTTAATAAATAAAATTGGTACTTTTTTTTAATAATATTTATACATACAATATAATAAAGTGTAATGTTCATAAATTATAAATGGTCAGAATTTTTAAATTTTGACGTCTCATTCTTATTTTATAACTGATTGATGAGAAGACCTATCATATGTCACTACAAGAAACATTGCATTTCTCAAGTGATTTTCACGTCACTAACCCAAAAATCACTTCACTGATTAACTTTTGCGACGTAGATAAAACACGTCAGAAATGCAATGGTGGAAACGTTTTCCCACGTGAAAACCACGTCGGAACCAACTAGTATTTTCAACATTTGCAACGTGAAATTTCCTTAGGAAATTTGCCACGTGAAGCACACGTCGGAACATTTCCCTATATTAAAATATAACCGTTGCTCCACTAAATACCAACGCAACGGTAATATATCATTGATGTAAGTGGGTTGCGAAGTAGGAAACACTTCGCAACTCACGTGAAAGGAATATGGGTATTTTGTGACATGCTACAGAATCACTTGACAACTGATTTTTTTTCCACGTGTTTACCACGTCATTAAATCACTAGGAAAAATCAACATTTTCTTGTAGTGTATATTATAGTTGTTTGCGTCAATTTTAATATATATTTATATGAGAAAAACTTTAATGAGAAATAATTTAAAAGGAGTGGAATGCTCATTTTAATGTATAATATCATTTGGTAAAAAAAAACTTTTTACACAATCATCTTAGAGAGATACATTTATCCCTATAAACTTTTACATTCATAAAATGCACAAATAAATAATCTTAAACTATGTATATACTTGCTTTTTTATTTTTAAGTGTATCTTAATCTTATTAGATTCTTATAAGTCCTAATAAACTTTTCTATGGTAGGTTCTTTACTCGTCTATTTAAAAAAAAAAAAATTTCTTGTATTTTTTGTCGAAGACATTTTAAACATTTTTGTGTGTAACAATTATAATATTTTATTGAATATTCATAGTAAAAGATTTAAACTAGAACTTAATTCTAGATATTTGAATTAGTAAATTTTTTAATTATAATTTTTTTCTTTTTTTCTAAAAAGAAATTCATTTATATATATATATATATATATATAAGGAAGTCGGTAAATATAAATTTAGCATAAAACAAAAGATCAAATATGATAAGTTTTTAAACACGTGCCTAAGAGGTATACTAATTAGAGAGGGAATAACCCATTATACTAATACTATTTTAGTTGTCAAGTTTTTGATATACATGATCACTTAATAAATGGATGATCAATTAGAGATATTGAAAATGGATGAGCAATTAGAGATATTGACTAATTCTTACTGAGTATACTGGAAAAAAAAGTATATAATAAAGACTCATTAATTAAATTTTCTAATAAGTAGAGTTGGATACGTGGGTTTAATCATTTTATATAGTGGATTATGCTGGTTTAATCCTCAAAGGCTTCGTCCTAGACCATCTAAAACTTGTTATTAAAGTTAATTATATTTTTCTCTTTTATAATTTTGTTTATGATAAACTTTATTGACAAAAAATGTTGTTATCAATTACATAATTATATTTAAATTATTTTAAAGAATTTTTAGATTTTAATTTTAATTTAAATAATCAATGATAACTTTTACTATTTAAAAAAATTATTTTTTTATTTTTATTTTAATTATTATTTTTAACAAAAATAATTTATTTTTTATTTTATAAAGAGTTACAAACTCAAATTAGACTCGGTTCTACATATTAAAATCCGTTATTTATTCTATATATTATTCTTTGACTTTTTTTTTGAAAGTTTGTATATTTTTGAAATATAATTTTGAAAATAATTTTTTCAATTAAAAAAAATAGATGGAGATTTTTATTTTTTCTGTTTTGAAAACAAAAAATGAATTCTTGAATTTTTTTAAAATTAAAAAACCTTTTAGAAAAGTAATTTTTTTTAAATGAAAAAGAAAATTGGGTGATAAAGTTGGGGTGTCAAGACCTACTTTAATGTTGAGAGTCTTTACTATAGAGGACTTAATTATTTATTCTTTAAATTTTAGATTTATAAATCCTGAGAGCCTTTATGTTTTGTTTGGATGAGAAAAAAAGTGAAAGAAAAGAAAGTAAACGAAAATAATATTAAAAAAATGAAAGAGGTGAGAAAGTTAGAGGAAAATAGAATGTTTTTTAAGTGTTTGTTTTTTATAAATGAAAGTGAAATGAAAGCAAAAGGCAAGAAAGATATACTAATATAAAATGATTAAAATATATATTTTTTAAAATTGTATAAAGTTTTTAAATAATTTTAGTGTAATTTTATATTAATCATTGTTAAACAATATTTATTTTATTATTTTATATAAACTAAGACCAACTCCAACGTTGGTTTTTCACGCAAGTTCGCCAGGCTGGCTCATTATATATGTATTTAATATTGCTAAAATGATTTTCAAGTGGCGCAACGTTGCTTACCATTTCAACCATTCTGCACATTTGCTAACGACTACTTTGCATTAAATAATATATTGAAATATAATAAATATAATAAAATTCAACGGCTACTTATTTTTTTTATTTTATTTTTTTAAACTTATTTTTTATTATAAATATAATTTTGGTTTCCAAAAATTTACCAACACAAATTTCTCTCACTTTTATTTTCTCTTCAATTTGAAATTTCTCTCTCACAATTTAATCAGTTTATTCCTATACTTTTAATTTTTTTTCAACAATTTTTTCTCATTAGCATTTTTTTAACAAAATATTTAACTCAAAATTTTATCTTTTTACTTCAAATTACAATTGTTTTGGGCAAATGGATCCTAATCATTTTCATTCTCAACAAGCTTTTTTTAATTACATGCAAAATTCTCAAAATCCTAATCCTCAAAATTCTCAAATTCCACTTGTGCCAACAAACCCCGCCATATTTCTTCTGTCACCAAACAATCCAAATATGTATCCTATACCTCAAATGAATTCTAATAGTATGGAATTCTCTACTCAAGTTCCACCATTTTCTACTCAAGTCCCACCATTTTCTACTCAAGTTGGTACTGAAAAAGAAGAAAGGGTTGTCGTTAAAAAAAGATCTCGAGAGCAATTTACAAGGAAAGAGGATATACTACTTATCCAATCATGGCTCAATGTTTCAAAGGATCCAATTGTGGGAGTTGATCAAAAGGCTGAGAGTTTTTGGTTAAGAATTGCTGCTAGTTATAACCAATATCGTGGGCAATTGCGGGAAAAGTTAGGGGGACAGTTAAAATGTCGATGGCATAGAATAAATGGCATGGTTTAAAAATTTGTTGGGTGTTACAAAATAGCTCTTAAAGGAAAGAAAAGTGGGACATCCGAGACCGATGTCATGACAGATGCACATGCTATTTTTGCTCAAGATCAAGGTACAACATTCAATCTTGAGTATGCATGGCGATTGTTAAAAGATGAAGTTAAATGGCGCGTCGTCGAAGAATCGATTGGAAGTTCTGCAAAAATAACAAAGACTTATGCTAGTGGGGCATCATCGGAGAACCCAAATACAACTTCAAGTTATGAGTTTAACTCATCATCATCAATGGAGCGTCCAATGAGACAAAAAGCAGCAAAAAGGAAGGGTAAGGCATCAGAAATTCCAAATGCAACGCAAGATGCAAAGAATAAAAGAGCAATAGCAATGGACAAACTTGCGCAAGCTAAGGAGGACGAGCTAGAATTAAGGGTAGTGCAAATGATGATGAAAGACACTTCTACTATGAATGATAGTCAACGAGGTATTCATGAAAAATATTGTAATAAGATGAAAAAAAAATATGGAATGTACTTAGTATCACTTATGTAAAATGGTCATTAGTACCACTTTAATTTATCAACACCTATGTAAAATGGTCATTAGTACCACTTTAATTTATCAACACCTATGTAAAATGGTCATTAGTACTACTTTAATTTATCAACACCTATGTAAAATGGTCATTAGCCGTTATTCAAATCACCACTTTAATTCAAACTAGCCTTTATTCAAACTAGTCGTTATTCAAACTAGCCGTTATTCAAACTAACCATTATATGTACTACCACTTATGTCATTGTTCTCTCATTCTCATCTTATTCTTCTCATTTTTCTCTCATTCTTTACTCACTAAATGGATTCAGACAATTCAGATACTTACGATCAAGAATTTTGGGAGTTGGTTGAAGAAGAATTTATGGACGACAGTGATGAAGAACAACAACTTTAAAATGAACGTCGATCTGGAACTTCCGCTAGGCCAAAGAGAAGAACAACGGTAGATCGAGGTCGTGAAGAAGGGCACAATCGATTATTCAATGACTACTTCTCGGAAAACCCAGTATACACAATGTTCAATTCCGAAGAAGGTTCAGAATGCATAGGTATGTATTTCTTCGAATTATAGATACCCTTGGAAATCATGATGAATATTTCCAAATGAGGGTCAATGCAACAGGTAAAATGGGTATTTCACCATTGCAGAAATGTACATCTGCTATTCGTATGTTGGCGTATGGGTCTCCTGCTGACCTTGTAGACGAATATGTTCGAATCGGTGAAAGCACTTCAATTGAGTGCTTAGAAAGATTTGTTAAGGGTGTCAATGTTGTATTTGGCGCTGAGTATTTGAGAAAGCCTAACAACACTGATGTTGAACATCTTTTACAAATGGGAGAGTCACGTGGCTTTCCAGGTATGTTGGGTTCCATCGATTGTATGCATTGGGTATGAAAAAATTGTCCTGTTGCATGGAAAGGACAATTTTGTCGAGGTGATAATGGTAAGCCCACAATCATGCTTGAAGCAGTGACATCACAAGACTTATGGATTTGGCATGCTTTTTTTTGTATTGCAGGTTCAAACAATGACATTAATGTGCTAAACCAATCCAACATGTTTA